AACCTCTGCAGACATTTAGAAAGATTGCGACTTGGACACTTGGGTGGAGGAGGTAGTGTCCCAAGGATACAAGCTTGATTTTTGTACTATGCTGTTCCTTGTTTTCTCACCTACAACCTTCCTGTGTCACTTCACAGATTAGCAGTTCTTCATTAATCTCATGTCTTCTAGACCAAGGGATTATTACCTCAGTTCTAAATGTCATAATTTTAAGCCCAGAAATTCGGCATGGAATCTACCAAATCTGTCTTAGTCTTCCTACATCATGTAGACTTTCTGGAGTCTGTGGCTATCAAGGACACATACCTGCATGTCCCCATTCTTCCAGGACATCAACCTTCAGGGAGGAGCCAGCAGCCTTGCTGTAGCAAAATGTAGTCCACATCCCTTCCTGAGTAGAACTTCACCTTCCAGCCTTGTCCTTCGGCCTTGTACGTTTCAGGTGTAAACAATTTGCAGGCAGACGTCCTCAACCAGAAGCCCAGGGGAGTGATTCCTACACCCAGCAACTGTTTACCAGAATTGAAATGTCACCTTGCTTTCTGTCAACATGTTTTTAAGTTCTACCAGGTGGATGTTGCTGTTTCATCTGATGCCAGCATAAGGTACTTCAGGCTGGTCTTTGAGCTCTAGACAGTCCCCAGTTCTTAGTTTTGCTTGTGTCTTGTGTTTTTGTCCACCTCTCTTTTGGACGAAGTTGGATGTCCTGGAGTCTTTTGAAAAAGAAAATACAATTTTTGTGCTCGCTGCAAAATCCTTTTCTTGGAGTCCCTTGATGGACACCGGACCCCCCACTTTGTGTTTATGACCATGTTCTCGGTACTGTTGTGCTACAAACTGAGGCAGCAGTATAACCCATCAGTACAAGACCTCCTTTTTGTCCCTGAATAGATTTGAAAATAATCTTCTGTTTGGTTTTTTCTTTTTTTTTGCAGAGGTAATTGTGATGGTTGCTGTCTTTCCAAACGTGTTTAAAGTGAACCTGTTAGCCATTTTGAGTAAAAATCCTGGCAAACAACTTGGGACTGCTTGGCACTTATCTGTTCCTTGTCTCAAGGTTTAATTTCCGGATGATGTGTCCAAGCCTCAATCCACAAAGTGAAACATATGACAAACGCACTCATCAATTCTTAACTAGCTTTAAAGCAAGGTGCACTTAGAAGGGATTTAGTTTAATAAGAACAATTGTAAGATGTTTGCATAGTTATGTTGTATATATTCTGTATTTAGGGCATCACCACAAAAAGAAAAACCTTTTGAGCAATGTTTTGATCATTTTTTTTTTTTTTTTTCCTTCCAGAAATTTAAACCTTCCGATTTTCCCAGGCGTTTTAGTTATTGTGGCTTTTACAAAAGTCAAAACAATGGTGTTACTTTTCTCCTTTTATGGCTTCTTTAAAATAAAATGTATTCATTTAAAATCAGATAAAACAAATGCAAATATAAAAAGTCAGTGCGTTGGTTAACCCACCAGTGCCTACCAAAAGAGTGCCTATCCAAAACTGCTAACTGGCGTTAGGTGCAGTATGTCTCTCAGTATGTTTCTTTTTTTCCTTTTAATGCGATAATTTAGTGTATTGTTCAGCAAGTCTGCTTTTATTTCTGTTGCAGGGACTGCAGATTGAACCAAGCTTACTCCAATGCAGTAAACCAGAATGCAGTTCTTCACCATTGGAGTATACAATGCTGATCCACAATAAGCTTCTCTTAGACATAAGACGACACATAAAGAAGTATTACATAGTAAGTGGTGGGCTCTTTTTTTTTCTGTCTCTATGGTCACACGTAAAACAGTAATTTTGCTATACTTATTGTTGCATATTAAAAATAACAAAGCATTTGAATTGCTGAGACAAGGGCAAGCTAATTGTCATTTCACTGGCTGAATCTTTTTTTCCAGGATCTTTTGAGATTAGCTCAACCACCAAGCAACTAGATAGTTTTTTTGTTTTTTTTCCCTGCAATAGCTGTCATTTTATTTCTCGACCATGCACTAAAAAAAGGGCAGCATGTTAGTACTTTTTCTTTAGCCAAAAAAATCTTTGAGCTTCTAAGAAGATAATCATGGCATGACAAGAAGACTTTTACATTCCCTAGTTTTGGTGCTGGAACAGATAAGTGAAACCTGACTTAAGAGACCCCGTCGCCATAGGGTCAATTGTATGCAAACCTCAGCCTGTAACCAAATAGCAACTATAATTGCCTTTCTGGCAGCCTATGATTTCAAAAGCTGTGCGTTGTATGCTGTTACAAAAGGGTCAGGTGCATTTTCTTGTTGAGGTTCTTTGGCCTATTAAAAATTAATGGATTGCCTTAGCTCTACATACATGTAGAGGGTCTTGTTTACGTTAAGAACTGTTTATCTCCCTACACAATCCTATGGGAAGGCAAAACCGGATGAAGCAGGTGAAATACAGGTCAGCTGCTCCTGCTGTGAATTCTGAAACATCTCCAACTGATGTCAAAAGAAGCCCATTAAACACAAACCGTATACCTGTCTATTCATACAGCATCTCCTTTGCCATCTCAGCAGTGCTATATTTTCCAAAGTAATGGCAATATTGGCTTATGTAAATCGGATTATGTGATTCTAAATGCATTTCAGCTGCTTGTGAGTTTGTGTTGTGCAACTTGTTTCTCAAGCTTAACTGTCAGCTTCAGGACAAGTGGGTTGTTTTCTCTCAGATTTACTGTATATGCAGGGCTATTCAAACCTAATATATGAATCGACGGTCATTGGGATATAGTCGGACAGCCAACCACACGTGATGATTGGTAGGATGTATATTGGAACTGCTCAGGAGAATGTTGTGTACTGTGAGTTTGATTGCAAAATTTTAGTGTTTCATATTCCATAACATTTGAAGATTACAGCTGAGTTGCACAATTTTTATTTGCAGCTCGTGGGTGAGTATGTGTTTGGCCTATAGGCCTGTTAGCTTGTCATTCTTCCAGAACTTTGGCAAAATGTGTGAAGGCGGGAAAGCCGAATGGTGGAATAATTGTATGCTTCTCTAATGGGCCACGTGGGATACCTTCTTGCCATGTTGCATTGAGCAGGATGATTTTTTAATTGTAAGCTGCACATTAAATAGATGAAATAGAATTTACTTTGCTTTAGAAATAATAAACTAATCTATAAAGATGGATGATTTTGTAAACAAGGAATCACTGCCTTGCATATAAATTTGCTTTAAATATTTCTACTGAACAGCTGTTCTCAAATAGCTTCTATACTGTAAATTAACTATCTTGTCAGTTCTATATGTTTTTACTTAACTTTTTCCGAGTGTTAATGTAGTCAACATATCATTGGCAAATTCAACTTTTAATTCTTAGCAAATTGGAGTGGTTTTTGGTAAAAGGAATCTATAATGGCTTTGGGTCATTTTCTGTTACCGATATGATTTTAAACAGTTTTACACCTGATATCGAATATGAAAATATTTCTTAATCTTACATCCCAGGACATAGAATGGTATTCTTAGGCCAATTGGTTATACTGTGTACCTCCTGGAGAGGAGACACTGGCAAAGCTTTAAGGACATCTCAGAATAACCCTTCCCAGTTCAGAAAGCCTCAGTTTTTTGCTAGTGTCTTTAGGACGTTTATCTCTCTATTTTGAGAGAATCCAACCTATTTTTCTTTTCCAATTTGGATTTTTTCATACATATTTTTCCCTAAGTCTCATCTGCTACACTGCTGCAGTGTAGCAAAAGTAAGTAGCTTCCAGACTGGAACACCTCAACCAAGCCTTGGGGACCACGTCTGGGCCCTGCCAGAAAGATTATGCGGAGTCATCCTGTAAAGTTGCTTCATGCATGGGGCACTTAACTTGACAGGTAGTGCAGCACATTGAGTTAGCCCCATGTTGCCCTGTTACTGAAGACTTCTTAGGGGGTATGGTCACAGGGAGGACAAACACTGTCCAAGATGTCTTGCTGGGTGACCTAGTCAGACCACTTTCAGTGAGTTTGCCAGGAGCAGTCTCTGGGTTGCTCACAGCCTTGGACAGTGAGTAACCCTTGTTGGGAGTCCTCCTTGGGGGCAGTCCCATGTACTCTTTCACCTTTAGGCCTTTTAACCTTCTATTCTGGCACCATGGGCTAAGAGTATGCGGTCTCTGGATCATCCAATTCACCTGTTCATCATGACTAGGCCTTCTCTGGCATGGTGGGTCAAAAGTTTGAAAGGACTTGGGAAAATCCTTCCTCCTAGTAGTTTGAAAGGTTACCATGATTGACACCTGCCTACCTGACTGAAGAGGGGTCCTTGATACCCTCTCGATACAAAGGACCAGGTCATTTGAGGAAACTCCTTTTGATTGGAGCTCTGAGCTATTCAGTTATCCCTTTACCACTAGACAACTTGTCTGTGAGGTCATCTGATCAGTGTTCAATCACACTTTTTTTTTTCTATGATGGTGATTTGAATAATCCTTTAGGAAGAAAATTGATTGTTCCACAAATTATTAATGGAAGCCTATCTGCCTTTGGACCGAATGGAAATTCCACTTCCAGCCCTGACCAGCATGCACATTCCAGGCATGTAAACAGGTGGGCTTCTGCAGGTATCATTGTCTGGATTGCAGAGAATAGTCTTCAAGGGGTTGAAGACCTCTGTTGCAGGTAAGGGCAGGAGATGTGGACCTCTTCCGTTCTCATGCCTAATTCCTGATGGACAAAAGAAGTAGTTCCATCAGCAATATACATTTATTGGTAGGGTTACATATTTACAAATAACACACAAAACAATATTTACAAGACAATGTACAAGTGTGGTGGAGTTTTACCTCTCAGCTTCTCGCCTGTTCATACTGAATGCCTTTGTGTTCCAGGTAAAAAGAGAGCACGTGGCTTGCTAACAATACCTTATATCATCCTTTCTGTACACTGCCTACCAAATGTACATTGGGTGTAACCTGATTGGTAGATTTAAATGAGGTTGCTGTTTACCCCCCATGTGTGATGTGATAAGCAAACAAAACAATAGCTAGGACTTTAAAGCAGACAGATTCACAGTAACACAATTGAGGAACTGAGAGTCACATAACATGCAGATAGATGCAGTCAAATATATATATTATATTATCTAATTAATATATTACACAAGCAAAACTTTATATGGCAACACTTGATCAGCGTTGGCCTTGGTGGCTAACTTTTCAGAGGCTGCTCTTCTGTGGGGGCTTTGTACAGGCGGTTGCTTGCATTATTCCTCCTTTACTATTCCCAGTGAAGGTTCGATCTCAGCCTGGGTTCTGTTAATCCTTTTAGTTTGTCCCTTGAACCGATCAAGGATTTTCCTTTGTTTATCCTCCTTCGCATGGTTGTCCCTCTTTGCCTTGTCCCTGTGAAGAACTTTTTCTTGTTCTTCACAGGGACAACGTGGTGGTTTTTCTTTTTTTCTTTTTCTTCACCATTTACCAGGATGTTGTTTTTCCTCCTCTGTCCTGTTCCATATATCCTAATGAGATTTCCCTCTATTGTTGCTACTCCTAGTCAGTCCTGCTGTGTGTCATCATGGCCCCATTGTGACAGACTTCTTCTTCCACCTTCGTTAGACTCGAGGGATTGTTTGCTTGGCTTATGACACCTGGGGCAAGTTTTCTCCTTTACCTGCCTTTTGATAATTCTTTAAGTTTTACCTGGTGGATGTTGCTCTGTTGCCCCACCCTTCCGTTGGACTGCTTTTGGACATCCCAGTCTAAGAATACCATCCTCTGCCCTGTTATGTGCAATTAACAAAATAGGAATTTTTGTCTTGCCTGTAAAATCCTTTTCTTGAAGTACATCACAGGGCACTTACCCTCTGTCTCATGTAATCTACTCCTTTTATAGCATGCTGGTAGTGCTCATACGGTGTCCAAAAAGGTGAGGTGCACATGTATTTGAATCTGGGTTGAGGTTGGGTGGTATTCAGAGGAAGTGGTACATGCTGTAGCTTCTGTTGTTTTTTTCTTTTTAAATTCAATAAGTTTTTATTGGTATAGAAAAGTATATCAAAAGCATCCACTGCAAGTGGCAGACGGGTAATCGCACAGAGATAACAACAATGTTGTGTACTGAGCTTGGATACATCAAGAATTACAGCAGGAGGTAGGAACTTCACGGGATATTGATAAGTCATCAATTACAATCTGCTGTTGAGCAGATGTGTATGCCAGTCTGTCTAGAAAGACCGGGCATAACCAGAACTAAAACAGTATTAAGTAGAAGGGAAAGGCGAGAAGAAAAAAAGAGAATCAGAGGGGGAGAGGAGGTGGAGGTATTTGAGGGGGGGGGGGGTTGTCGTGCACGTCAGAGCATGTATTATCGAGAGGTTGATCCCAAAGTTAAGTGCTCATGAGAGACCTGTCAAAGTTAGGTGGAAGGAAGTTAGCGGCCCATGGCTCCCAGACTCTACTGAATTTGGAAAGACTACCAAGTAATTTTAGCCGGCAGCTTAGCTTCTGTTTTTTTTTTTATTGTATTCGCATTGGTGTTTGTTACGTTACCTGTGTACCTTTTTTATAAAGGGTGTAGACACCTGAAACCTATGTATTTGTGTGCACCAATTAAGTGGAAAATACAATTTCATGAAGATTGAAAAATAATTTTTTTGGTCTCCCTTTATCACTCAATCTCTCATCTCTTTTTTTTTTTTCTGTGTGATATCTCAAACTGTTTTCTGTAATTTAGTATCACACGTCTTCAATCTTGTAATCAGTTGGTCAGCCTATTTAAATGGAGAAAAGTGGTATC